AGTTTGTAAGTACTTAAAGAAAATCTAAAAATACATTTAAAATGTAAAGCTGTTACTTTACAAATTTTAATAGTACTAATAAAACATCTTTATTTCTGCTTCAAACTACTGGTAAGTTAAACTGAAGTAGAGGACTGAGGACAAATTTAATTATTTTAGCCTATCACTATTCAAATATTAACTTTTTTTCTTTTTTTTTTTTTGAGACATAGTCTCACTCTGTCACCCAGGCTTGAGTGCAGTGGTACAATCTTGGCTCACTGCAACCACCACCTCCTGGGTTCAAGTGATTCTCCTGCTTCAGCCTCCTGAATAGCTGGGATTACAGATGTGCACCACCACACTCAGGTGATTTTTGTACTTTTAGTAGAGATGGGGTTTCCCCATGTTGGCCAGGCTGGTCCTGAACTCCTAGCCTTATGTGATCTGCCCCCTTGATCTCCCAAAGTGCTGAGATTACAGGCGTGAGCCACCAGGCCTGGCCAATATTAACATTTTAAAATGTGATATTAAAAAATATAAAACTTAGTTGTTTTGTAGGAATGGATACCATAATGAGAAACAGGAAAAAACAGCATGATAAAAACAAATGGAAGAGAAAGGTTTAAGATAATAAGTGTGGAATATTGAAGTTTAGTTAAAAGAGAACTAAAAATAGGCCAATAGACTTGGCAGTTTAAAAAATTCCAATACCGTAATACAGGAGTTGGCCAGAACGCATGCTCATGAGAGTGAATAGAGGTAATTAAGTAGATTATGGAGTTTAAGCTATTATTTCAGGAATTCTAGAAATAAATGGAAGAAAGGGTTTTATGGCAGTATGCAGTAGAGTTTTCTTTTTTGGATACAGGAGACTTAAACATCTTTGTAGGCAGAGAAAGGAGTCAATGGAGATCTGCAATGTGTCAAGAGAACGAGATCTGAGAACAAGGAATAGCCTTGGAAAAGAGAAAAGTCACCTCCTATTTAGAGAAAATTAAGAGACTAGAATGAATGGGGACTTTGATTATTTACAAGTTCCTTTTTTACCTACTAGCCCTACTACAACTCCCAAATAAAACAACTAAGGCCAAGTGGCCTCAAAAACAATGAAATATCAGTATCAACTGTGATTATAATACTGATATTCCTATATTACTACTATGAATTCCTCCATTAAAAAACATGACCAGGCCGAGAGCAACGGCTCACATCTGTAATCTAAGCACTTTGGGAGGCTGCAGTGGGCAGATCACTTGAGGTCAGAAGTTCAAGACCAGCCCAGCCAACATGGTGAAAGCCCATCTCTACTAAAAATAAAAAAAATTAGCTGTGCGTGGTGGCTCATGCCTGTAATCCCAGCTACTTGCGAGGCTGAGGCAGGAGAATCACTTGTATCCACGGGGGTGAGACTACAGTGAGCTGAGATCATGCCACTGCACTCCAGACTGGGCAACAAAGCAAGTCTCTGACTCAAAATAATAATAATGATAACATAACCAATTAGCACATAGAGCAAAGCCCAAAGACCTTTTTACTACTATTGGGTTATATTAAAGGCATTGGGACTCAAGGTGGGATCATGTCTCTTGGAAACAGCACAAAAATCAGTATCAAATAATAGTACAAGAAAAATTCAAATTAAATATTGAATTGTTTCTACAAATAATGAAGTCAAGGCTGAAAACAAGTCTTTGTTGCAAAATAATCTGGTCTTTATCCTGAGTTTCTGGCACAAAGCCTCAAAAACCCTTGGAGTTTCTTTTGTTATGCTAACACAGTGACTCAGTGACCACCCCTACATAGCTTGAGAATGAGGGCTGATCACCATAAAGACCATGGTAAATAGAGGGCTAAGACTTTGAGCCAGGCCCATTTCCAAGGAGGGAAGGAAGGATGGAGATCTTGAATTTTGAGTTTGATCACCCAATGATTTAATCAATCAAGCTCATGTATGCCGAGTCCCAATAAAAACTCTGGACACCAAAGCTACACCAGGTGGAGCTCCCTGGCTGGTAAACTCATTGATGTGCAGGGAGGGTGACAAGCCCTAATTCCATGAAGAGAGAGCACAGGAGCTCTGCATCTCCTCCCAGACCCCATCCTGTGTGTCTTCATTTCACTGGTCCTCCTAATCTGTATTCCTGGATAACAAAACTGTAATAATAAGCGCAGCACTTTCTTGAGTTCTGTCAGTTGTTCTAGTGAATTATCAAACCTGAGGAGGTTGTGAGGACCTCCAAATTTATAGTCAGGTCAAAGTGTCGGTCAGAAGTGTGGATGGCTTGGGGACACAGGAAGCTGGCATCTGAAGTAAGGGTAGTTCTGTGGAGAAGTCAGCCTTTAACTTGCAGAGTCGGACACTAACCACCAGGTTTGCGTCAACCAGGAGTACAACAGAATGTCTTCAAGCCAGTAAAGTAGCAACTGTTTGGAGACTGATATAAAAAAAGTAAGTCTTGGACATTTCTTTCATCAAAGTTAGGTTATTCGTATAGATCATGATTTAAGGTGGCCTATTCACTCATAAAATGTCCATGGTTCTTGTTCTTCAATCAAGGAAATAAAATAACCTTAAGGGACTCTCAATCATATGAGGCCCTTACCTGTTCTGTTCCTGCCTACTGCCACATTTTAAGAGGGCCATCTACAAACTTACCAGCAAGTGACCTGCTCCTTATTTGGGAGGGAATTCTGCCTTTTCCATTAAATGGTAAGATAACATTTCCCACTGATTTCTAGAGAGAAGGGTCAATTTGTGTCTCCTTTTCTCTACTACTATTGGTGCCTTGCCTTATCTAATGAAAAGATAGCTATTATCAATCCAAAGATCTTTGACTTCTTATTAAAAATAAATAATAGTCTGGGAGTGGCGGCTCACGCCTGTAATCCCAGTACTTTGGGAGGCCAAGGTAGGTGGATCACCTGAGGTCAAGGAGTTCAAGACCAGCCTGGCCAACATGGTGAAACCTGGTCTCTACTAAAAATTCAAAAATTAGCCAGGCGTGGTGGTGAATGCCTGTAATCCCAGCTACTCAGGAGGCTGAGGCAGAAGAATCACTTGAACCCAGGAGGCAGAGGGTACAGTGAACCAAGATCATGCCACTGCATTTCAGCCTGGGTGACAGAGCAAGACTCCATCTCAAAAAAAATTATAATAAGTAAATAATAAACAACATATTCTTATTAGGCAAAAAATACACTTAACATTTCATGTTGCAAAAGTAACATGATAGGTATTTGTCAAATTATTCCTGTAACAAGATAAAATAAAATTTTAGCGAAAAAGAAAATTAAACACCTAGTATAGGATAAGGGAGATACCATAAAAATAAGAGTTCCACAAATTATTCCTTGAGTTTGTCATCTAATTGAGATGAAATGATTCTTAAGCAGATTTTTAACTTCAAAAAAGAATACAAACTAAGGACACAATGGCTGATTAATCAGAAACCAATAAGGTTACTGAGAAAACATCAAGTTTTTCACTTGATACAAAGGTTTGAAGTCGCCATTGACATATAATGTAGCTCAATTTGTGGTCAGTAAAACCATTATTTCATGTCCAGGGGTTTTCCAGCATGGATTTCCAAAATGGGTAATTTATTGTATCTATGCTTAAGGAAAGTTATTTTTATATTTAAATTTGATACAACTTCCCTTAAGAATTCTAAGGCAACATCTGTACATATAATTTGCAGGTAAATTTGCAGTATCTACACACAACCTCTCCTCATTTCTCATATTTTCACATGCCTGAACATTATTACTACTAATTTCAGAATAAATTAGAGAAATTCTAGAAGCTCTCTAGAATGTTTACGAAAAAATGGGAATGGTTCAGGATCAAGTTCAAAGAGGCTTAGGCCTCTTGAGAGAATGAGTTATACAGGTGTTACAAAAGTGAAGAATCATGAAGAAATAGGCTAACAGCAAAGAAACATGAGAAATCATCAAAACTAAAAGTAAATGAAAAAACTGAAAGCCATCCAAGAATGCAATACAGAACCACAAAAAGATTTGAACTTTCTAAAAGTCATAAACCATGATAGACCTAATCAAACAGTTCTTATGAAAGTTCTTCTAAAACACTGAGAATTTCATGAAGTCTCAAACAAAAACTGCTTCTTACAGTAAACATAGATTACTTTGAAGAAAGATGAAGTCACTGATAGCAATAAAGAAATGTGGGAAAGCTAGAAACTAAAGAGATTTTAAAAGGGACTATAAAAATATTTCCAGTATTTGGTCATAAAACAATACATTGCATACATAGAAGTCTTAGGAAGAGAAAAACACATAGTCATTTCTTTTGTTAATTAGTATTAACTCAACGTATGATTGCACAGAGCAAAAGTGTACAACTCATAAGAGGCAGAAATTCTTGACCTGAAAGCATATAGACTATCCTGAGGCAGAAATCTAGAGGTCATTTGCTCAACAGCAAATGGAACAAGACAAACAATATTAAAACAACTGAAAGCTTATTTATTTTTAAAAAAGATTATAAAAGAAACCATTTATACCAAATTTAAAGGAAAGGAGAGAGATTACTTATTAATCCATCTATATATTATAATTACTAGCAGAAATTTACCAGTGTTAAGACTGTACATACAAACATTCTATGGGTCAGTTTTCTGGATCTGGCAAACAGGATGACGTGCTTACTTTTTCTTGTGTTACATCTAAAGTTTACATTGTAAATTCAGGAAGTTAAGCAATGTTGAGGGTTTTTTTTTTTCCCTAAAAGACAACTTTGATAATCTCACATATCTCAAAATTTTAAACAAAGCAAATAACAGAAAATTCTTATTCCCAGGAGAAAAGTAAACTAAGACAGTAAATGTTTACCACATGTTATCTAGTGTTGCAAGATAGCGAACATCAATAAGGTAAGATTCTTACCATAAAGTTATCCGTTAGGTGATTTTCTTGGGGATAATTTCTTTCTCTTTGGATAACTACAAAAAGGCTTGCAGTTTACACACAAGGAAATGCTCAAGAGACTATATACTAACCTGGCCTAGTCCAGGCATACCTCCTCCAAGTCTAAGAAGTCTGTCCATATTTCTAGAAAACAGAAACAAAGAAAAAACGTTCCTAAGCACAAAAGTGTTTATTCAATTGCTATCTATATAATTCACTTTCAGTCACTCAGTATGTCAAAAATATTGGTGGTAATTACAACACAACATCAGACTTCCTGTTAATTAACACCACATATTAATTCAAGAAGCTGTCTTCCATGCTAATTAACAGACCTTATTTTACTGCTTTGGTTTTGGGTTATCCCCAGTTTTAAAGACAAGCAATCTTAGCATACTTTCAAAACTTTGCTATCATTAAGTTAATTATATTTTCTTATTGTTATCTAATAAAGTACCTGAATGCAGAAAAAGTGCCTGAAATGCTTATCATATGTATGATTGAATTTCCTTCAATTTGTCCAGAGTGTACAAATAAAAATCCTCACTTTTAAATTAAATTTTAACATCCTCATTAGTAAGTTCTGTGCTAATTAACTTACAGCTTGTCAGTTATCATCAAAACTACATGTGAAAGACATTGTGAGCAGATTATGGATCTCTGAATTAGCATCAAAGGCTTTTAAAAACTGAACTCATTATACTAAAAGAAATACTATAGCGTAAACATTAAACGTATTAAGACAGTGTTCTAGAACCTACACAGATATTTTGTGTTATTTCAGATGTTGTAGAGATACACGACTTTTTCACTAAGGAAATTCAACTGTGCTTCTCAATTATAACTTCAGAGTTAACCAATACAAGGTGGATTTACTATACCAATCTGATTTAGTTTTAATGTTTGGAGTAACTACAGAAGATATTCTTCAAGCTTGAAAACTTCAGAGAAGAAGTTAAGAAATAGCAAGTGTATTTATATGGTCTTAAATAACAAAAAGAAGTAACCAAATTTTAAAAATGAATAGCAGTACAACTAAGTAATTTAAAAATGACAACAAAGCAATTTTTTCTACTTGAAAATTGCTATGTCCTTAAATAAAATTCCTTTTTCCTAAGTGTATGCTTTAGAAAATGGTATTATTACAAATTATATTCTAAATTAAATGCTAAGATTCATTTCATCCTTCATCCATGTTGTTTTACGAGTTCAAATTGCTATATAAACTAAAACTCAATAATGTACTTTATATATTACCCCCCCACCAATCACATTTGTTGAATCCTGGTAACAATTTAACAATGTTAATATTGCAAACTTTATTCAAGTCCACATACAGAAAAGAACTTTACTCAAGTGCACATACAGAAAAGAACACAAACGATATAGCCATGGACTCTTCAAAGTGAACACATCCATGTAACCATCACCCAGTTCAAGAAACAGAACATTATCAGCACCTCAGAAACACCACCCAAGCCCCTCTTCCAGTCTATTCCACCCTGAAAAGGTAAAAATTCAACTTTCAACAGCATAGATTAGTTCAGCTGTTTTTGAATTTTACATAAACAGAATCATATATTTTTTGTATCTGGACTGTTTCATGTAACATGTTTATGAAACTCACAATTTTAACAATTTCTTTTTAAAATGAAAAGGCATATAAGAAAACATGGTAATACAGACAAAATTTCCACTTCACAATCTTAATGCATCCTCCTAATACCAACACTTACAACTAAAATCTCCATCAAATACTCATTGAAATTCCTCAAATCAAATATGGCATTCAACACGCAGCACTTTTTAAAGGCTGTAAACTGGGTGGGGGGCGGGGGCGGGGGATCCTGTATATTTTATAATATTAAAGCAATTCTCTAGAATAAATTACCAAAGAAGAAAAAAATTTCTTTTGGACCATTTCAACCTTACAAACTTAAAGAACCAACAGAAAAACAAACAACATACAGTGTACATTAGAATATATATATTTATTCTAGGCCAAAACTGATTCCCAGCTGTGTTCAGTTTATCTATTCCTCTGTGTTGTTTCTGATGACTTTACACAGACTCCAGATGCTGTGAATATACATGAGTGATGCAAGAAGCAGAAAGAAAGAAAATCTGGCAGGTCAAATTTGTTTCTGTAGCAAAATTAGATGTCTCAGCAAAGAGGAAACATATTTAACAAATTAAAACATTTAAGCTGAGATAACCAGGTTTAATAAAAATACTAACATTTGGGAATGAAGTATATTGATACATATTCTAAATCACACCACTTTTGAAAATCTGGTTATCTATCAAACATATTCATAATTTGACATCTGTTAAAAATAATACATTTTCATGCTATCTCTCTATCCACCCCTAAAAGAATAATTAAAAGTAAAATACATTTTTAAACCTTACCTGGTCAATAACTATAACTCTTAAGGTGTTAACCTTCAATTTGTTGAGTTTGACAAATTTCTTCTTAAAGAAAGCTCTTGCTAATTCTGGCAGGCACAATTTCCCCAAGTATATTTTATTTTTTCTTTCTCTCCTGAAAAAAGTAAACAAAATAAAATATAATTATTTTGACAATTTAAGGAGAAAAACTTTATACCAGAATCTTTAAAAGAATCAACATTCCTAAAAATGAAGTAGAAATCAAAACTGTTTCTTAATAATCATTTTCTGAATACAGAATAAGCTACTTTACAGGGAGCTACAGAGCACAGTGAGTAACCCTGTATCCAAATTTTATGTGTATGTTTCTCTCGTGAACACTAACTTTGAAGACAGACATTTCAAAACTTTTAGTCTTTCCAGACATTTTTCAAAGAACAAAAGAGGCCGGGCACGGTGGCTCACACCTGTAATCCCAACACTTTGGGAGGCCAAGGCGGGCAGATCACCTGAGGTCAGGAGTTGGAGACCAGCCTGGCCAATATGGTAAAACACCTTCTCTACTAAAAATACAAAAAAAATTAGCCAGGCATGGTGGCAGGCACCTGTAATCCCAGCTACTCAGGGGGCTGAGGCAGGAGAATCACTTGAATCCCAGAGGCAGATTGCAATGAGCCAAGAATGCACCATTGCACTCCAGCCTGGGCAACAAGAGTGAAATTTGGTCTCAAAAAAAAAAAAAAAAGAATAAAATAAAAATTTACTTATTTTTTAAATAGGACAGTTCATTCTCTCATGTAATTACTATATAGGTTAATTGTACATTATTACAAATCTATCAAATATTATGGAATATTAGTGGTTATTTTTCTTATACCCTGAAAATTTGCTATTTTATCATACTAGGAGGCATTAGTAGTCCATCATTTCTTAATCAATTATTCCCAAAACTATGCCGAAAACACTAAAATGACAAGAATATGGAAAAATGATAAGAACTGTCTAAAATAATGCAATAGTGAAAAAAAATTATAGTTATTACATCATCCTTTCATTCTTACTGTGTTGTCCAAAGCACTGATCCATCTTTCGAAAAGATATAGAACACTAGAGACTTCATCTTTGTAGTCTTTTTTTCAGTCTTCATTTAGCACGGTTAAGAAATCAGAATTTTTCATTTTAATAATGGCAAAAGGAAAAAAGCAACAAAGAAAATGTTTCACATTACTACAAAATCAAAGATGAATGTGAAGGAGACAGATTATAGCATTCTAGTCTCTAATGATGACAATAAAATTGACGGTACAAGCCAGGATTTACTAACTTCAGTACTACTGAGATTCAGAACCAGATAATCTGTTGTTGTTCGTGGGGCTGTCTTGTGCACTATAGGATGCTTAACATCATCCCCAGCTCCACTAGACAACAGCAGCACCTATCCAGTTGTGACAATCAAAAATGTCTCCAAGCTTTACCAAATGTTCCCGGGGGACAAATGTTTGAAGTTATTTTTGATTGTCTCAAAAATCACTCACAATTGAGAACCATTGATATAAACAAAATCTCAGACTATCTTGAGATGATAATACCCTAGATTAATTTTCTCAAACTTAAGAACCAATGAGTGCTGGGAATAGTTTGGCAGTTTCCCAAAAAGTTAAACATAGAATTACCACTTGATCCAGCAACTCCACTCATCGGTATATACCCCATAAAACCAAAAACAAATACTCAAAATAAGTTCATGTACATGCATGTTTACACCATCACTATTCACAATAGCCGAAAGGTGGAAACAGTCCAAATGTCTACCAAAGAATGAATGGATAAACAAATTCTACTATAAACACATAAAGGAATATTGTAATATGAAATACTGTTTAGCTATAAAAAGGAATGAAGTACTACTGGTACATGTTACAAGTTAGCTGAACCTCAAAATATCACACTACGTAAAAGAAGCCAGGCACAAAAGGTCACATGTTATGTGATTCCATGTATATGAAGTATCCAATAAATCCACAGAGACAGAATGCAGACTGGTGGTTATCAGTGGGTGGGGAAGGAAGGAAAATGGAGAAACTGCTAAATGGCTAAGAGATTTTTTTACCTTGGAATGACAGAAATGTTCTGGAACTAAACTGAGGTGGTAATGGCACACTGTGAATGGACGAAATGATACTAAACTGTTCAATTTAAAATGGTTAGTTTTACATTATGTGAATTTCTCAACAGATTATTTTTTAAAGGGTCAGTGAGTGAACAACATATTTCTAAAACCAAAAAAGTGACATTCTTACTCAGTTACTTATTCAACAAGAAAGGACTTCATCACACAGCATTTTGCAATGAGAACCTGTTTTCTAAAGAGATGTGTGACATATTTTTTGATGTCTTATGATGTTAATACAGTTCACACATGGAAAAATGCTAAAGTGTACACAAATGTGAATAAAAGGAAATGGATAATGTAGAAATTTTAAAAATCATTGGACTAATTCTAAATGGTGCCTATAAATCTAAAAATATAAATGTTTTGCAATTATGAAGGAAAGATGGCATCGTATCTTCAACAAAATTATGAGCTCTCAATGTTTTCAAAAGTAAAGTAATTGGGAGGACAAAAAAAATTCTAGATATGGATGGTGGTGACAGTTACATAACACTGTGAATATACTTAATGCCACTAAACTGTACACCAGAAAGTTAGAATAGTAAATTTTATGTGATGTATATTTTCACATAGATACACACACAGGATAACAAATACAAGAACCAGAAGTAATAAGCTAGAGCCTACTAGAAATGTATTTGAAATATAGAACTGATCTATACAAGACAAGTATGTTCTAGGTTCATGCATGGTGGCTGATGAGCAGTTCATTCAAAACATGATGCCCATTCAAAGGATGACATGTGAAGATATATGTACCTTCAAAACCAAGAAAATACAGAATACACACTTGTATTTAGGCTGGGTGTGGTGGCTCACGCCTGCAGTCCCAGCAATTTGGGAAGCCAACGCAGGCAGATCACTTGAGGTCAGAAGCTCAAGACCAGCCTGGCCAACAAGGCAAAACCCTGTCTCTACTAAAAATACAAAAATTAGCCAGAAATGGTGGCATGTGCCTGTAATCCCAGCTACTGGGGAGGCTGAGGTAGGAGGACCGCTTGAACCCAGGAGGTGGAGGTTGCAGTGCACCAAAGTGGTACCACTACACTCCAGCCTGGGTGACACAGCAAGACTCCATCTCAAAAATTAATTAATTAATTAATTAATTAATATAAAAATTTGTATTTGCTATGTTTAAGCTTTACTAACATTTCTAATATAGTTGTTTTTCACTATCCTTTTATGGTCTACTGGGCCTAGATGGTAAATGGCGATGACTAATGACTATTTTGTCTGGTACATGAGAGTCAAGTACTATGACTCTACAGTCAGAGTGCCAGATTCAAATACTGGCTCTAACACTTACAAGCTCTATGTCCTTGAGTCAATCACCTCTCTCCTCCTCAGTTTCCTCATCTGCAAAATAGAGATATATATCTCATAGAGCCATTTAAAAGATTAACAAAAACAATGGACCCAAAAAAAACCATTGAATACAATGCTTGGCATATAGTAAGCATATAATAAACACTAGCTACTTCATCAGCAACCCCATCCTGAGCATGGCTACCAACACAGATCCTTCTTCCTCACATAGTTCGCCACTTATTGGGTTTCAAAATGCTGGGCGTATTTCACATGACTAAATCACATTGGAGACTTGCATTTCGCAGAATTTAGCAGAAAGATTCACAAAGTGAATGTGTTATACTTAACATAAAAGAGAACACTTTCAATTCTTAGAAATAAAAGCAATAAAACGGTTGATGGATCTAAACCAAGTTTTCACAGCTATCAAAAAGCAGAAGACTCAAAAGCTCATTCATGACATAATTAACTTTATGGAAAATATTATCAGACAATATGAATAAAGTGTTTATACCTAACATAATGTCATACATACAATAATATTTAGAATCGTAATTGGTAAAAATAGTACAAAAAAGGTATCAGTACTTTCCAAAGTTGATTACTTTCCACTTTTTCTTTCTCTCTTAATCTCTGATTAGAACCTGATATTGCTAGATCATGTCCATGCTGTATTTAAAATAAATCAATTTTTGGCCAGGTGCAGTGGCTCATGCCTATAATCCCAGCACTTTGGGAGGCCAAGGGGGGCGGATCACTTGAGGTCAGGGGTTCAAGACCAGCCTGGCCAACATGGCAAAACCCCATCTCTACTGAAAACACAAAAATTAGCCGGGTACGGTGCCAGATGCCTATAATCCCAGCAACTCAGGAGGCTGAGGCAGGAGAATCACTTGAACCCAGAAGGTGAAAGTTACAGTGAGCCGAGATCGCACCACTGCACTCCAGCCTGGGTGACAAAACAATACTCTGTCTCAAAAAAAAAAAAAAAAAATTACTTTTCAGACTGATGCTCAATCCTTTTTAAGCTATTCCATATTTGTTATCTTACTGTATTTCTAATTCCTCTGTTTTCTGATTTGTGCAAAGTAGTTAAAACTTTATACTCTCACTTTCTTAAGGACTTTTTTCCAGTGGAAGATCTTGAGTGAGTCAACATTAAATCTAATTATATAAACAGGATTTTGAAAACAAGATTTCTGCAACTTAGAAGAGTGAAAATGGTGGCTGGGCACGGCGGCTCACACCTGTAATCCCAGCACTTTGGGAGGCCGAGGCGGGTGGATCACCTAAGGTCAGGAGTTTGAGACCAGCCTGGCCAACATGGCAAAACCTGGTCTCTACTAAAAATACAAAAATTAGCCGGGCGTGATGGCAGGCACCTGTAACCCCAGCTAGGCTGGCTGAGGCAGGCAGAATGGCTTGAACCTGGAAGGCGGAGGCTGCAGTGAGCCAAGATTGCACCACTGCACTCCAGCCTGGGCAACAGAGCAAAGTTTCGTCTCAAAAAAAAAAAGAAGGAAGAGTGAGAACGGACTCATCATAAATAACCTATTATGGAGTCTCCCAATTTCAGCATTTGAGTACAGTCATCCATCTGTATCTGTGAGGAACTGGTTCCAGGACACCAAAATCATGGATACACAAGTCTCTGATATAAAATGGCATAGTACCCTATTTGCATATAACCTATGCACATCCTCTCATATACTTTAAAATCATTTTTAGATTACTTATAATAACTAATACAATGTAAATACAATAGAAATAGTTATACTATATTGCTTAGGGAATAATGAAAAAAAAATGTCTACACATGTTCAATACAGACGCAATTTTTTTCCCCCTTTTTTGAGACCGCGTCTCACTCTGTTGACCAGGCTGGAATGTAGTGTTGCAATTTCGGCTCACTGCAACCTCCACCTCCAAGGTTCAAACGATCCTCCTTCCTCAGCCTCTCCAGTAGCTAGGATTATGGGCACATGCCACCATGCCTGGCTAATTTTTGTATTTTTGTATTTTTAGTAGAGAAGGGGTTTCGCCATGTTGGCCAGGCTGGAACTCCTGACCTCAGATGATCCACCTGCCTCAGCCTCCCAAAGTGCTGGGATTACAGGCGTAAGCCACCGTGCCTGGCCTAGATGCAACTTTTTTCAAGTATTTTCAATTTGTGGTTGGTTGAATCTACAGATGCAGAACCCAGAGATATGGAGGGCTGACTCAAGAAATTTAGTGGCATGCACTGACAGAATTTATAATCTACTGGGGGAGGTGGGTAGAAGAAGTTTGACATAAACCCATAAAAAATATGTAAAGGGAAAGGACAGCAGTATAGAGTGAAAAAGGCTCTTGAACCAGTTGACTTTGATTTGAATCCTGGCTTCACCACCTATTCACTATATGACACTGATTTTTATCTTCTTCTAGACTCTAGAACCTCATTTATAAAGTGGGGATAATACCTACTTTGCAAGTCTGTTGTAAAAATATGTTCAAAGCAACTTATAGTGTCTGAAACATTCAAGGTACTCAATAAATGTTGTCGTTGCTATTCTTATTGTTATAATTGTTGTTATTATCATTTTAGAACTAGCAGAGATTATTTAATCCAGTTCTCCCATTTCACAAATAAGGTCACCAAAGTACCACACACAAAGCAGAATATGAAATGTCAAAATGACTGCAACAAACAGGGAATATGACAAGTTCCTGAGCAAGAAATCACATGGATATTCAGGCAAGGCTTTCACAGGTGGACACTGAATTATTAAGTGAACATTACTACAAAATTGAAAATTAAAAAAGCATAATTGCTTCTTGTTACTGAAATAAGAGGACTAGATTAAATAATCTCTTCCACTTCTAAGATAATAACAATAAAAACAGCAATAATAACTTTTATTGATTTTCATACATAGGGTTCACAAACTATATACTAACAAGCACATGGCCAGTATAAAAATAAGATAGACCCATGTCAAAGAGATTAAAATCCAGCTTTTTTTTTTTTTTTTTTTGAGACAAAGTCTCACTCTGTTGCCCAAGCTGGAGTGCGGTGGCGCGATCTCAGCCCACTGCAACCTCCACCTCCCACATTCTACCTCCAGCCTCCCGAGGTAGTTGGGACTACGGGCACGTGCCACCATGCCCAGCTGATTTTTTTGTACTTTTAGTAGAGACATGGTTTCACTATGTTAGGCTAGTCTTGGCCAGGCTGGATCACCTCATGATCCACCCGCCTCAGCCTACCAAAGTGCTGGGATTACAGGTGTGAGCCACCGCGCCTGGCCTAAAATCCATCCAGCCTTTTAATTAAAATGGCAATATATTATTTACCAAACACTTCAGGCTGAAACAAACAAACAAACAAAAAAACCAAACTCCCAAAGTCAACAGGTGAAGCATCAATGAAAGATCATAACTTGAAACCTTTCCTCCCTTGGCAAGATTTAGGGACAAATTCAAGACAACATTCAGGCTTTTTCACTAAATAGCACTTCACTAAACACACCTTAACTGTAGTTAATTCAGAACCACTATATATCTTAACCTCTAAACTTCAAATGAGTCAGCTGGTAGGTAGGCTTACGTGACAGGAAGGCCACCATTATATTAATCATCTGCACTAAAACTGTGTTCATGTTTTTGTTATTTCAACAGTATCAGTGCATGTCTTGCTGCTTTTCTCAAACACATTAAGTCAGTAGCACTAAAAACATACTTGTGACCAGTGGAATAAAATCACTTTCACACTAGAACTCTATTTTATGCTAATTTTTAAACCCTCTCCCCTGCCTTTCCATAAAATTTTTATCAACTTTTGGTTACCATTTATTTTCTCGAGAATTTTTCGTTCAGTCACTAGGTTTATAGACTCAAAAGTTTACATTATTTTTCTTTTGACAGACACAGAGCTACATCCCCAGGAAAATTAAGTTGCAAGATGGAACATACGGTAGCAGATTTCTACTTAACACAAGAAATGTAATCAATTCACCAACAATTACTCAATTAGTATAATATTGAAAGTAAGTTAACAGGCACAGTAGCACACTTTGTTTTTAAGATATTCAAGGTCCAAAACCAGTGTATCTGCAGGACTTTTGTTTATTTTTTGGAGGAAGTTGAAAACCTAACACTAACAGAAAAAGGGTCAAGGCTTACAGAAAGGACAGGAGATAAAACAAACGTATTCAATGGGAAAGTTAATTCTACTCTCTCTCCCTTGTTTCTCCGGTCTGCTTTGAAGTTTTTCAAGACAGGAACAACTACGGATAGAGCACAGACAAACAGGTCATAAACAAGGATTCTCTCAGAGAGAAGAGGTTCCCATTATGTGAATTCGGCCAAGCAGAAAAGAATGGAGAAAGGAGACAAGATGCACACCTGACCCAGCCAGAGATCCCTGAGAGCAGGCGAAGAGAATGAAGGAGCTCGGGCTCCTCCCTCGAGGCCCAGGCCTCTAGTGGCAACTCAGCTGGGCAACGTGACTCAGGAAAGCACGGGGCTGGTGGCGGCCTAGCACGGCTGCCTCCCCGGACCTCCCAGGCCTGCCTTCTGGGTCTTACCTGAAGGCGGGCGGGAGCTGGATGCCGCGATCTGGACCCTTGTCTTGCCTCTGCGGTGACGTGAAGACAGAGACAACAGCAGCAGCGGCGCAGACCCGACGCGGTTCTGACTCTGCGAACCGGCGATGAATCAGCCCGATTCCATTCAAAAGAGTTGCCCGGGCCTCTGCCGCGAAGCACTTCCGGGTTCACTAGTCTGCTTCGGCTTCCGTTCCCCGACGGCCAATTGGAGACGACGGGGAGACAGGCGGGTGTCCAGGAGGAGAGCTTGGGACAGACGGCGCGGGCGGCCCGGCGTCTCCAGTCCTCGCCAGTACCGTGAGGCGGAACTTAGCCCCCTGGCCGCTCGCGCCCTGCCGACGCCTCCTTTTTCTCTCCCTACCTCTGCGCTCTCCGGCCGCCGCTGAGATCTAGGACGGGGGCACATCCAGCCCGGGAGGCGACTGGCTAGGAAATGGAACTGTTAGTATTGCGAAGCCCAGATCCCCTTTCGTTTTGGTGTTCACTGCTATTATGGTCCTCCTCAAAAACGAAAAGGTTCATTTGAACTAGATTTAACTGGTTATCTGAGAATAAAATGTTTTAAAAAGACGGGGGATGATGTGATTAGAGGGGACCGGTAAGACGCCCTTTTCCATAAGACCGCTTTATCCACCTCTTGTCATAATTGCTTTGCAAGGATTGGATTTCAGGAAAAACTAATGTTTCCCAAATGTTCAAACCACCTATTTTACTCCGAGTTTAGTTTACAGGGTTTAAAGAGTCATTTATTCACATTTCTCCATGTAATTATCAACAATCACGTTTTACTCATGATCTACTTTGTGCTAGGTTTTCAAAAAGCAAAGTTGCTCAGGATATACTTGACAAGTTGATATTACACTCTAGGTCTAGGTACAATCTGTGTTTAAGGCAGCTTCTTTACCACGTTCCTCTCACTTTCTCAAATATGTTCCAAATAACAAGCATCTTGAAAGCATTCCTAAATCGAGAATGGCGACGAATCTACTGGACAGAGAGTGGGGAAAGATTACAGCGCGTGGATCCAAACTGATTTGAGTAGCACAATTGCATTAGACTTTTGCTTTAAGATATTCATACCTCTAAAAACACAAAGATTATTTTACTCATAGGTAATATTTGGATCCACATCTTTATGCTTCCCCCCACAAACCTGTGCCTCTCTATTCCTTTTTTTGGGGGGGAGGGGGTGAATAACCCCATCCTCCAAATAATTTTCCTAGTCAGAAACTTAAGAGTATAAACACTTGGCTCTTTTTCATCTCTCCCCACTGGCCTCCCAGTTAACCATTGTAGAAACCATGAAATGTGTAATTTCCATAACAGCTTTTCCAATCCACTACTTCCCCTTCTGAATACTCCCCACTTTGGCCTTAACTCAGACCTTCCTCACTTTATTTTATTTTATTTTATTTTTTTATTTTATTTTATTTTATTTTGTATGTATTTATTAATGCATTTTTGAGTTAGGGTCTTGCTTTGTCACCCAGGCTGGAGTGCAGTGGCGCCATCTGGGCTCACTGCAACCTCCCCGTCCCTGGGCTCAAGCAACCCTCCCACTTAAGCCTCCCAAGTAGCTAGGGCTACAGGTGCTTGCCACCATGCCCAGCTACTTTTTTATTTATGTTTTTATTTATTTATTTATTTTTAGTAGAGACAGGATTTCACCATGTTCCCCAAGCTATGTTTTTAGAGTGCTCTTTGATCTTTCCGCCTTCAGTCTGCTTCCTTTTAATCTGTTCACCTCATTGGTAAAAATGTTTGTGCTATATATAGTCATGCTCCTTCTTTGCGTAAGATTCCACTAGTGGCTCCCCATAACATACATCATAAAGGTAAAACAAAAAACAAAAAAACAAACAAAAAAACCCCTTAAACTTTGTTTGGAGCACCTTTTGCTCCACCCATACTGAAGTATTTAACTGGGGAATAAGATGTTCATAGGGCTTTGAAAAATGCTAACATATTCCTGAGACTGTAGAAGGTGCTTAGGGTGTGCACATGCCTAGGGTTATGTGAACACTCAAGATAGGCCTGAGAGGGCCCTGAGCTCTAACTTCTGGGTGACTCGAGGCACTACAGAAGCAAGAAGTGAAGGCAAAGGCAGAATTATTTGGTTGGTAGGTGCAAAAAATTGTGGTTTTGTCATTTCAATGAAATTAATTTTGCACCAACCTAATAGAAAGTGCTTGACTGATTGCTGAAGTCCCAACGTAAGTACGAAAGCCCTCAGGAAAGACTGGGAGACTTTTTGGTTGAAGGTGTTTAAGGAAACCTGTCTCACTAATCATTAACTGACCGCTAAGCTAACTGAGCAGAAACCTGTGTGGTCACACACAATAATACAGACTTTAAAGAATTCGTTCATAAGCTAGGTGCAGTGGCACACATGTGTAGTCCCAGCTACTCAGGAAACTAAAGCCAGAGGATCCCTTGAGTCACCAACTCAGACCCTATCTCTAAAAAAAAAAGAATGAGTTCAGAGAAGTCACTAAACCAACAAATACTACAACAAACAGAAACGACAGTGAAGCTTGGGGAGCGGGTAGAATCTGATTTCCAGTGTCGCACATTATATTATTTAAAATGTTCAGTTTTCAAAATAGTTAAGATACATGCAAAGAAACAAGAATGTATGGCCCATACACAGGATAAAAATTAATCAATAGAAACTCACCCTGAGGAAGCCTACATGCTGGACTTACTAGATAAAAAGGCTTTAAATCAGATATTTTCAATATGTTACAAAGCTAAAAGAAACCATGTCTAAAGAACTAGAGGAAAGTATGAGATGTTTCATCAAATAGATGATAAAGACAAATCATTTTTTAAAATCGAAATAATTCTGGAGTTAAAAAGTATAATATGCCATGACAGAGACAATTTTTAATTTTTTAAAAAATAAAAGTAACAAGTTATAATAAAGTGAAAAGTTCACTAGAGGGGCTCAACCCCAGATTTTAGCAGGGAGAAAAAAAAATCAACAAACTTCAATTTAGGTCAGTTGAGAAGATCTAGTCTGGGCAACAGATTGAGAAGAGAAAGAAGAAACATGAACAGGCCTCAAAGTCCTGTGGGACACAATCAAGCATACCAACATGTGCATAATGGGAGTTTCAGAAGGAGAGGAGAAAAAGAAAAGGGCAGGCATAATACTTAAATAAAAGAATGTCCAAAACTCCCTAAATTTAATGAGAAATATTTATCTACACATCAAAGAAGCTTAACAAATGCCAAGTAACATAAATCTACACCTCGACACATTGTAATTAACTGATTAAAAGTCAAGGGCAAAGAGAGACTCTTGAAAGTGTCAAGAGAGAAGCCACTCATCACGTAATCCTCCATAAGATTTACAATTGACGCCATGAAAGCCAAAAGGCAGTGGGATGACATACTCAACGTGCTGAAAGAAAAAGATCAAGTAAGAATTTCACCTGCAGCAAAACTATCCTTCAAAAATGAAGGAGGTATTAATACTTTCCCAAAATGTATGTATATATAAAGATAGAATTTGTCACTAGGACATTTTCCTTCCAAGAAATACTAAAGGGAGTCCTTCAGAATTAAATTGACACTAGACAGTAATTCAAATCCACATGAAGGAATAAAGAACGCCTGTAAAACTTAACTACATAAATAAATATAAAAGTATATTTTTTTTATTTGTGACTCATTTTTCTATTTGGTTTAAAAGACAATTGCATGAAGCAATAATTATAAGTCTATATGGGCTTATTGTAAGATATTAATATGACAATAACAGAAGGGAGAGGAAGGAGGGAAAGAATAATGGAGGAATGAAGCCATATAGTAGCAAGTTTTTTTGTACTATTAAAATAAAGTTGTTATTAATCCAAACTAGATTGTTATAACTTGTTAAGTATAATCCCCAGAGCAACTTCTAAGAAAATACTTTTAAAATATATGAATAAAGGACAAGGAAATTAAAATGGCATACTTGAAAATATATATTTAACACAACAAAAGGCAGCAGCAATTAAGAAATAGAGGAGTAAAAAAGACACAGGACATAAAGAAAACATCGCAAAATGACAAATGTAAATTCCACCTTATCGATGTCAACAATCCACTTCAAAGGATTTTTCTTAAAAAAGAAAGACTGGGCACAGTGGTTCACACCTGTAATCACAGCACTTTGAGAGGCTAAGGCTGGAGGATTGCTTGAGTCCAGGAGTTCAAGATGAGCCTGGGTGACATTGTAAAACCCCATCTCTACTAAAAAATACAGAAAATTAGCCAGGTGTGGTGGCACATGCCTGTAGTCCCAACTACTCGGGCAGCTGAGGTAGGAGGATCGCTTGAGCCCAGGAAATCAAGTCTGAAGTGAGCCCTGATCATGCCACTACACTCTAGCCTTGGTGACACAGTGAGACCTTGTCTCAAAAAAAAAAAAAAGACACTTTATTCCAGTGAGCAGTTTGCAGTCTTTTGTACCAAACAAAGGTGTGGTTCAAGAAAACAAAAGGGATTATCTTCTTTAGAGAAAGTTCCCACCCAGGTTGCCCCTCTGGTCTGCTAGGCAAATGAAGAATAAAAGCTTGTTTAGTTCTGACTGGTTGATGCAGGTCACAGTGTATCAGTTAGGTCCAGGTGGTGAAATGAGACTTTCTAGCAGTTGTTGATTGAGGCAGTAGTAAACAGGAACAGATAGCTATGAATGACCCGAAGTCTCATAAGCTTGTAGGTTCTCTCAGAACACAGAGTACATGTGTGACCTCTAGTCAGCAAATGGCTGCTTGGCTCCATTTTGAATTTCGGACCACTTAGCCACTAGGGATCCATCTTGAAAGATTAGCTCTTTCAGGATTCACATAAGTCAGTATATTAAATATAAATGGAATAAAAACTCCAATTAAAAGGCAGAGATTGGCAGAATATGCTAAAAAAAAATCTAACTATATCTGTCCACAGAGTCACACTTTACATTCAGTGACACAGGTAGAAAGTAAAAGGATGAAAAAAAAATACCATATAAATAGTAACTAAAATAGCACAACCACTTTAGAAATTGTTCTGGCATTTACAAAATAAAAATGCCATTATCATTTGACCTAGCAATCCCACTTTATATTTACCAAAAATAAATGCAGACATGTGCCCACACCAAGACTCTTGACTGCAACAGTTCATAGCAACTTTACTGATAAAAGCCCTAAACTGGACACAATCTAAATGTTTGCCAACTGGTGAATAAATAATGTCTGGTATGTCTTTACAATGCAATATTAACAATAAAAAGGAAACTACTGATATAAGAACAAGAATGAATTTCAGAAACATCATGCTGAGGAAAAGTAAGATGAGAAAGAGTGCATACCATACAATACCCCTTAAAGAGACTCTAAACAAATCAAATCAAATAGACAGTGACAGAAAGCAGATCACTTGTTGTCTTTGTGGTTAATAGTAGAGTTAGGTGGGAGGAGTAACTGCACAGGGGCATGAGGGAACTTTTTGGTTTCTTAAAAATGTTCTATATTTTTATCGTGGTGAAAGCTTGTCAAAACACCAAATTGTA